GATGGGTCTGGATGGGTTACTGCGCAGGATGGCTGTGATGGGTCTGGATGGGTTACTGCGCAGGATGGCTGTGATGGGTCTGGATGGGTTACTGCACAGGATGGCTGTGATGGGAGTCGGGTCACAACGCCACGCCCTGTCAAGGGTCTCCCTCTTCACCCAGCTTTTAATGTGGTCCACTTTGCTGCCCACTGGAGGTCCTCCTTTGTCTCACCGTGTCCTCCTTGCTGGACCCTTCGTTTCTACCGTCGTGGTGTGCGTGCGTGTCTGGCTATGGAGGCTCCCGAGTAGGTAACCCTGGAGAGACAGGTAGAAAGGGACGTGGCAGGGGAGGCTGTCGGAATGGGGAGGGAACCCCGAGTGCAAAGAAGAACACACAGTGCTGGAACTGAGTGTGGCGACGGCTACTCACCTCGCATGCATGTGACCTGGCTACTGAGATGTGTGAGCCGTGAACTTGTTAGTCATACATAAATGAGCCTACGACACAAACAAGGCCCACAGCCTTGGGAATCCTATGGGGTAGCTCTACTCCCACCCATAGGGTTAATGTGAGTTGGAATTGGCCCCGTGGGGGTGGGATCGGACCCCGAAAGTGCCTGCAGTGCTTGGATGGGAAAGCCTGGGGTTTGGCCCTCCCCGCTGCTCTGTGGGATGTATCCTGTAAGTCTGACGGAGCCAACCCAGTGGGGAGTGGCTGCTCGGTCCTGAGTTGGAATTGACAGCCCCAGCCCTACCCCTACCCTGCCCAGAAGGAACCAGCTGAGAGGCCTAATTCCTCCAGAGACAGAAGGCTCCGCAGGGGAAGCCTGGTGGCTCTCCTGGTCCGGGCAGAGGCTGGCAGGTCTGCAGGCGCAGCAAGTGTGTGTGTGATGAATGGACGCTGGGTGGCTGGGTGGAGACACCTGCTCATGGTACAGCCCTCCACTCGCTGGAACCTCCAGCTCCCCACGGACGCGGCCATGCAGTCCCGTGGACTCCATGCTGGAGAAGAGCAAACGAAGTCCCCATGACCCCTGTCCCAGACTCTCAGATGCAATAGAATCTTCTGGGCTGCCCAGGCTTTGCCCAGACCCGCTCGCACCAGCTGGTGCCCTGCAGGGCAGGGGCAGCCCCAGGGAGAGCTGAGGAACCCTGGCCCTTGGACTCCTTTGTAACGAGTGTTGGGCAGAGTCCAGAAAGCCTGGGCCCAGCCAGCCAGCTCTGGGGGCTCTGGTTTATGTGGTGTCTGACTCGCCCACCCGCCCTGTCAGCTTCCTCCGATGTGCAGCAGCGTCTAAGAGCAGGGCCTGAGTCTGGGAGGCTTTTGAGGGCTTGGAGGCTGAGGGACTTTTTAACCCACAGGGGACTAGCTTAGCACATGGCGGGCCTGTCAAAATGCAGCCCTACCACCTGCCCTGCAGATCCATCTCTGATTCTATCTTTGACCTGTAAGTGCAGATGAGAGAAACGGGCCCACCAGAGAGGCCAGGGACTCCCCCCTCCCCCCAGGTCTTGCCTGTCTGTGTGAGTGGACCCGCCTTCCCAGACAGGTGAAGGAGGGCTCCTGGTCTCCAGCTTGGGCCAGCCTTGCCCCACATCTTGTGGCTAAGGCTTGGGGTTGCAGAAAAAGGGTCAAGGGCTGTCTCTGTCTTGCAAGAAGTTTTGAAGGTGATCCATGTGCCACCCCCTTCCTCCCCGACACCCCACAAGGCATTGTAAGCAGTCTATCCCACTAAGCAGGTGGGCCAGCTCCTTGGTGCCAGGGAGGCCCCACCTAGCATAGTTAGAACCACGTGTCCTTTCTCCACAGTTCCAGTTCTGGAGATGCAGACCACAGCGTGCCCCTGCCCATTGGAGGCTGCAGCTACGTTCAGGGCCACACCAGAACTCATCTCATCAGCAAGACCGTGGGCTGGTGTCTGAATGCCACAGCCCAGCGGGTCCCAGACCGAGAGGCCCTGGTGGTGGCCCATGAAAACATCAGGTTGACCTTTGCCCAGCTCAAGGAGGAGGTGGGTCCTGACCTGAAAGCGACCAAGCGACCGAGAGATCTCCTAGACCGCTCCACCTGGGAGAGTCGAAGGGCACGGAAGAGGGAGGACACGTGGCTGGGGGAAGAGTTCGGTGGGGTTGCCTGAGGACACCAAGGGCAGGGCTCAGACAGAGGTGGCCTTGGATGCCTGTGACAGCAGGATCTCCTAGCAGATGGACGCCCCCAGACTTCACTGAGGCCTGGTCATAAGCCTGATCCCTTGCCCTTTTCCCAGGGGGTTCTTATGAGAGCAGCTGTGAGTCTCCTCCTCTACCCCCTTCTGACCCTCATGTCCCCTCTGTTGATACCAGGTGGACAAAGCTGCTTCCGGGCTCCTGAGCCTCGGCCTCTGCAAGGGCGACCGGCTGGGCATGTGGGGACCTAACTCGTACACGTGGGTGCTCATGCAGTTGGCCACTGCCCAGGCGGGCATTGTTCTGGTGAGGAGGGGCTGGCTTGGCACTGCCAGGCAAGTGGAAGGGCATCATGGGCCCCAGACCCAAGCCAGCCCAGTGGTGTATGCTGCTAGGCCCACCAGGAGGCCCGTGGCTGAAAGGTGCTGGCACCTTCCATGGAATGCTATTGTGTCTCCTGAGGGGCGGGGCAGTGGTAGGGACGGGGTCTGCCCAGGACACTCACATGCCCTCCATGTCCCTTCCAGGTGTCTGTGAACCCAGCCTATCAGGCACAAGAGCTGGAGTATGCCCTCAAGAAGGTAAGCCCTCCCTCCACCCCCCGCCCCCCCAACTGAGGAGGGCAGCCGCTGGCACCTGGCACAGGGAGTAGGGGTGGGGGTGGATGTGGATGAAGGAGAGCGTGCACAATCTGCCCTCCCTCTGACCATGTGAGGATGGAGACGCTGGTCAGACCCGGGCTGGCGCGTGTCAGGGTGGCAGTGTCTATGAGTTGGGGGGAGGGGGTATTGGGGCATGATGTCTGTTTTGGACTGTGGCAAGTATGTGTATTTGTCTTGGAGCATAGGGTGTGTGTTGAGGATGGTATGAGTTAGTGTCTCTGTCCCAGGGTGTGTGTGTGTATTGAGGGATGTGGTTGAGGGGGGTGTGATTAGATGTGTGGGGGGTGGGAGGGGAGCATGCGAAGAAGAGAATGATTGATTGGAGAGGGCCCGTAGTCTTCAGCCTGACCACACCAGGTGACTCCCCTTCCATAGGTGGGCTGCAAAGCCCTTGTGTTCCCCAAGCAATTTAAGACCCAGAGGTACTACGACATCCTGAAGCAGATCTGCCCTGAGCTGGAGGGGGCCCAGCCGGGGGCCTTGAAGAGTCCAAGGTGCATGAGCCCCTGGGTGACCCAGAGGAGGGTGTCCCTGGGTGGCGCAGGGGAGGGGCTGTAGTTCAGCGCTCCTGACTCTTCCCCTCCCCGCCCTCAGGCTCCCAGACCTGACCATAGTCATCTCTGCAGATGCCCCCCTGCCGGGGACTCTGCTCCTGAAGGAAGTGGTGGCAGCAGGCGGCTTGGAGCAGCACATGGCCCGCCTCCGTTATGCCCAGGGGTTCCTGTCCTGCTATGACCCCATCAATATTCAGTTCACTTCGGTAGGGCAGAGGCCGCTGGGCTCCCAGCCCGGCCGCACAGGAGGGAACTTCTGGTCCTGTGACTCTTCCTGGGGACCAAGGAGATGGCACTGGTGGTCAGGGGGTGGGCAGGCGGGCACTCTCTCAAGGCCCCAGGTCCAGGTCTGGGTACCCCGCCCTCATGGTCTGCCCTGCCCAGGGACGTGCCAGCAACTGGTGTCCTGGTCACATACCCCTCCCCCAGCTCTTGAAGGTTGGACAGATTCACCCAGCTCGCAGAGAGCTGCGCTGGTGGAGCCTGACCCCTTCATTTACTGCACGGGGAAAGAAACCGAGACCCAGAGAATTTGCCCAAGGCTGTGCAGCTGGGGGTGGGGGAGACATGATGGCGAAGACACGGGGCCAGAGTCCTCTGAGTCACCTTATGAGGAGAGAGGACATGGCTCCCCCTTTGCACACCCTTCTGACGTTTGCAGCGCTGAGCACAGTGCAGGCCTCTCGAGAATGCACTGAGTGGCCAGGTGATGGATTGGATTTAAGAATTCCAGTCTCCCAACTCCCAGTCCAGTACTCTTCTGCCCAGGGGCCCGGGTGGGAAGGAGATGGGGAGGGAGGGGTCCGCGCTGACCCCTGCTTGTCTTGCCAGGGGACAACAGGCAGCCCCAAGGGGGCTACCCTCTCCCACTTCAACATCGTCAACAACTCCAACATGATCGGGGAGCGCATGAAAATGCACCTGAAGGTGAGGGGGCACTAGGGAGGGCGCCCAGGGCAGGCTGCACGGAGGGAAGCTGGTGGTTTGATGGGCACCCCAGCTGGCCAGAGGCACTTGGCTTCTGCAGCGCCAACTGCTCCCCCATCTCTAGCCGCCAGAGGCGCTGCGGATTGTGCTGCCCAGTCCCCTGTACCACTGCCTCGGCTCGGTGGCGGGCACCATGGTGAGTGTGATGTATGGCACCACCCTCATCCTGTCTTCGCCCAGCTTCGATGGCCACATGGCGCTGGAGACCATTAGCAAAGAGAGGTGAGCGTTGGTGGGCAGGCTCCCTGCCGGTTGGGGGCACCCTCTCCCATCCTCACTGGGCTCCTGGGCCCTGACCAAGATGCCTCCTTCCTCCAGCAAGGAGGACTAGCAACAGAAGTAACTGGGGACCCCCCAGAAAGGGCCCGGCTCTGCCCCCCACGAGCTTCCGCCTAGACCCCGGCTGTAGGTGCAGGTGGGGGGGGCATGAGAAGGTGTCCCCCTCTACTGCCCAGCCTAATTTTGAGATGCCGCCCCCTGTGCAGAGGCTCCTTCCTGTATGGCACCCCCACTATGTTTGTGGATGTTCTGAACCAGCCGGACTTCGCCAGTTATGACATCTCGACCATGCGTGGAGGTGGGGTGGGGCCAGGGGTGGCCAGAGAGGGAAGGGGGCTGCTGGTTCTATTTTGTCTGGAACTCTCCCCGCCCCTCAAAATGGTCTGGGTGAGCTAGACAGGCTGCCAGGTAGGGGATGGGAAAGGATGTTTCAGATTTAGGGTGGGGATGGGGGGGTGGCAAATGCCTAGTGTCCAGAGGGCAGGCCCAGGCTGACGGTCCATCCAGGGTTGGGGAGAAAGAGCCCTGGCCTTTCCTAGGATGGGCTATAGGGGAGGGGGGAGGGCACTAGCCTGCAGAGGGCATTGTGTCAGCCCTCTTTCTGATTCAGGTATAATTGCTGGGTCCCCTGCACCCCCAGAGTTGATCCGAACCCTCATCAGCAAGATGAACATGAAGGAGCTGGTGGTGAGTGACAGCTGCTCTCAGGGGGCGGCTCAGCCTGCCCTGCGGTGAGATCTGACTGACAGGAGAGGGGAGGCCCAGGCCAGCCAGGTCTCTGAGGGAGAGCCCTGGGCAGCCACCAGTTACAAAATCCAACATGGACAGACAGTCTGCCCTCGGCCACAGCGGGCCCATGCTGGAGCTGGGTGACAGAACAAATACATACATCCATTTATCTTGATAGGAATCAGGGTTGGGGGGGGCACACAAGCAGGGAGTGGGGGCCATGGATCTGATATTGGTTTCCAAGTGGTGGGGAGAGAGGGACAGAGGGCAGGGTGGTTCCAGAGGGGTGGCCATCCTGATGCCCACCCTGTCTGGGTCCAAGGGACTTGGGTGGTGGTATTAGCAACAGCTTCTCTGCAAGGTGCCATGATGGTGGGCCCAGGAAGAATGGATGGGAAAGGTGCTATGTCCTCTCCTGGCCACTGTCCGAGGGGAGCTGGGTATGCGCTGGAGTGCACGAGGTCTCCCTGCCAGGACATCTAGGCGTGGACTGCTCTGCAGGGAGAAGGGGGGATGATCGTGAGTCTCTTTGGCAGGAGACAGGCCAGTTACTAGGGCGCCAGGACCCACCGTGACCAGAGAACCCTGGACTAGGACATGCATGAACAAAGTGGAGCCAGGGGTCACTTGGGGTGGTGGTGGTGGTGGTGAACACTTCCTCTCTCAGCAGAAGCCCGTCAGCCCCCTCTCCCTGCAGACATGGAAGGCCTAGGGTCTGCCGGCCACAGAGCTCTCCAAGACGGGAGGTGGGGGGGGGGGGTACCTACCCACCTGTTTAGTGGCGGCCGGCTTTCTTGGAGCGCTTGGTGGGGAACTTGCAGCTGCGGAAGGCGGCCGTGTCCCGAATGTGCTGGCCCCTGAACTTGGAGGGTGAGCTGCAGGTGGCATCTGGGCGGGAGGCCTTGGCCTCCAGCCAACTGGGGAGACAAGTGTGTCGTCGGGCCGGGAGGAGACGAGGGAGTGCTGGGGCAGGAACCCTGAGCGGAGGCGGATGTGGGACCTGGACAGTCTTGTCACCTTCTTTTTACCCACGGAGGCCCCTCAGGCCCCATACCTACCAGGGAGCAGGTCTAGGAGGTGTGTCGAGCAGGGTCTTAGTGCAGGGACAGGTGTCTGCACTCTGTCCAGGAGGGGGGTTTGGGCAGGGGGCTCTCACCGCCGAAGGCGCTGGAGCTGGCAGCTACACTTCCAGGGGTTGTTGGTGATGGTGAGGGTCTCCAGGCTGTGGAAAGGGAAGCTGGTGGGGAGCTGGCTCAGGCGGTTGTTCTCCAGATGGGCGTGTTTCAGCGTGGTCACACCCAGGAAGGCCCCATCTGAGAACTGGGAGCAAGACAGGCCTGAGTGAGCCCCCGCCCTGTGGCCTCAGAGGAGCGGGGTCCAGCCCTGGATGTGGCCGTTTGAGGGACTTGCATTTTCAAAGCCCAGAAGAGCTGGCGGACACCCTTGGCGATAGGAAAGCAGTTGCTCGTGGGTCCCCTCTGACTCGTGGTGGCCCTGTGCGTCTCAGAGTGGAACGGGGCTTTGCAGGGTCTTCCATGGCTGGCTTTGGGGCAGCAGAATGCCAGGGCTTTCCTCTGAGGTGCTTCTGGGCAGGCTCCAACCTCCAACCTTCCGGTTGGCAGCCGGGCACGCTGACCGTCTGCCCCACTCAGGGACTCGCCCCTTTGAGACGGCCCACAGGCAGGCAGGAGACTGGAGGTTCTCAGAAGCTAAGTCCCTAGGTCGGATCCCACCAGCCAGTCAACAGTCACTGTCACCAGCATGCAGTGTTCTTCCCTGGGCACACACACACACACACACACACACATGCTGGGAGGCAGCCTTGGCCCTACCCGCCCCAGCTGGCACACGGAGAACCTGGTCAGTGTTGGGTGGAGTGGGCAGTGGGCCCAGGCTCCCCACAGCCCCAGGGGCCTGGGACTTCCCCTCACTGCCTGCCAGCCGCTATTTGTGGAGCCCCCCTGGTGGAAATGTGGGTCACGTTGGACGGCCCGCTCCAGAGGAAATATTCCATTGGTGCCCGCTTCTTGGCTCCGGTGCCACAGTTCCTGTCTGACCTTCCCCCCACCCCAGATCCCCAACTCTGCTGCCTCCTGGAACCCCTCTCTGACACTAGAGGGACACAGGGGTCTCTGGCTTCCATAGGGAGGGGGCCAGGGTTGAAGAAAGGCAGGCCAGGCAGGTTCCCCACCCAAACCAAGGTTGGTGGTACCCATTCCCATGCTTGTGCCCTTGCTGTGGGTGCTTCCATGGGCACCAGGCAGTCCGCAGACTGTGCCTGCCACCTGGCCCTGGCCCCTACCTGGACGTCCTGGTCAGTCTCTGGTACGAGAGAAAATTTTCCAGTCCCAAGGACGGCTCTGCCCCTACACTAGGTAGACCAACCTGTTAGCTGCTGGGGGTCCCGGGGGAGGGCAGGCTGAGGATGCAGTTAGGAGATGGTCCAGTGGCTGACTGGGGTGAGCAGAGGCCAAGCAGGGGTCCAGGGAAATGGGAGGGCCCACTGGGCTTCCCAGGGGAGATGCCTGGGGTTCTGGGTTGACAATGAGTCTTGACTTGCTTTGCTCCTTCATGGGTCCCTTAGGCCTGGAGCCTTGGTGAGCCCTTGTCCCAAGGCCCGGACTCCCCACCTCTGTTTAAAAGGTCTTAAGGAGCATGGGGGAGCTGGGCAGAGGTCTGGAATAGCAGGTTGCCAAGCCCCCAAGGAGTGTGGAAGAGCGTCTGTCTCTGCTATCTGCACTCCCCCTTGCCCAGCCCCACCCCCCACTCCACCTGGACACACATGCACAGCCCCCACCAGGAACAGGGTCTCTTTGTGGCCCTGATTTGCCCGGCGCCTCTGGAAGGCTCTTCAATAAACAAACCTTCCTTTATGGGATGGGAGGTTTACTGGAGACGGGGGTGGGGTGTGGAGGGTGGGAATAGCAGGGAGGGACAGAAGGCCTAACAGGAAGAGGTGGCTGCTGCCCATAGTGGGGGCTTAGGGACACTACAGATCCTTTCTGGAGGGGCTCCTTGTGGGGCCAGGACAGACCCAGTTCCTTTGATAAGTTATGAATCCTGGTGGTGGGGGCAGGGGGTGCTGAAACTAGAAGCAGAGATTCCTGAGGTGTGACAAGGTGAGCAACAGAGGTGGCAGAGCCCCTTCACCCTAGGGGCTCTCTGCTCACCTTAAAGAAAACCAGAGGGGCAGGGTGGCCCTGGCCCCCTAGGTCTCCAGGGGGAACCATGGAGCCAGGGGGTACGCTGCTGTGCGGCGCTTACCTTTTCCAGGCCGGTGTTGTCCAGCCAGAGGGTCTCCAGGTACCTGCCAAAGGATTGGAAGGCGTGGTCCGGGATGCTCTTCAGGGGGTTGTGGGACAGCTTCAGCTCCTCCACCACCCGCAGCTTGCTGAGGGCGGTGGAGGGGTAGCTGGACAGCTGGTTCCGGTCCAGGTGGAACTTGGCAAGGTTTTCCACGTCGTCCAGGGCGCCGGGCTGCAGGGAGCTGAGCGCGTTCTCGGACAGGTAGAGCCAGCGCAGGTCCTTGGCACCCTGGAAGGCGCCGGCCCGTATGTCTCGGATCTTGTTGTTGTTGAGCTGCAGGATGAAGAGGTTGACGAGGGGGGAGAGCAGCCCCCGGGGCAGCTCGGTCACCTTGTTGTGGTCCAGGTAGAGGTAGGTGAGCTCAGTCAGGTCGTCAAAGGCACCGGCGTGCAGCACCCGGATGTCGTTGTAGGACAGGTACAGGTAGATGAGCTGCTTCAGGCCCCGGAAGGCGCCGGCGGCCACCTCTCGAACCTGGCAGTGCTGCAGGTGCAGGGACACGAGGTTCGGCATGGCCCGGAACGAGTTGGCGGCCAGCACGGGGAAGTGGTTGCGCTGTACGTTCAGTAGCTTGGTCTTCTCCGACACCTTGGGGATCTTCTGCAGCCCCACCTTGTCGCAGATGACATGTTGCAGGTCTCCGTGGCAGTGACAGTTTTGGGGGCAGGCGGCCAGCGCCGGCAGCAGGCTGGCCAGGAGACCAAGGCTGAGCAGGAGCACCAGACGGGCCATAGCTGCAGCCTGGGGCTGGGGCAGTAGTGGACGGTGACCCGGTGGGTGGCGGCAAGTCCTTGGCCTTGGGTCTCCCACTCTACTTATACCTCGGTCCTGACCGCAGCCGGCTGCCCGAGCCAGCTCTTACGTGGAGCATCAGGGCCACCAGGCTTAACCCCCTCATGCCCAGAGATGCACCCGGGCCCTTGGGGGGGCAAGGGGTAGAGAGCAGCCTTCCTCCCTCAGCTGCTGTCATGGTTAGGCAGGACTGTAGCCCCACAAACAACTCGGATCTGGTTTCTCTCCCCACCTCCTGCCCCTGTCCTTCTTTTGCCTTTCTGCAGAGGGATAGACGGGTAGGGGTGGGAGTGGGGATAGGGGTGTGTCTAGAAACCTGAGTTCACACCGGAGAGGGGAGGCATTCCCTGAGCCAGAATTTATTTGTTTGCTCAAGTCTGAGCCTCCATTACCACCACCCCACACACACCCTCCAACCTCGGCCAGATGCCCTGGCCAGGGGAGGGAGGAAGCAGGGCCAGACAAGAGTCCTTCCCTGGCCCACTTTAATGGGGCTTTTGTGTGGCGGCCGAGGATGGCAGTGCTCTGGCTAGGCACCCCAAGGTCAACCATCAGGTGAGGGGGGGCTCCTTCCCCACCCCAGGCGAGCTCCTGGCCTTCTCCCAGCTGGGGCTCGAGATTCTGCTGCCGCCTGCACACCCCCACCTTTTTATCTTAAGGCTGGAGGGGCGGGGGTGGGGATGCCCCCATCATTCATAAATATACCTGGAGACCACAGGCTCAAGTCAGGGCAACTGGCCACCCCACCCCCCAATCCTCATCCCCAGTGGTCAGACCCACCCCAGGGGTCTCTAGGTGGCGGTCCCAGTGGCGCCAAGGTGTGCTTGGTGGAGGCCACAGCGGGTAGTGGCCCTAGGACAGTGGGAGGGGTGAGTGGGTGGGGTCCTGGCTACCTAGGTTCCGGGCAGTCCGCCCCCGCCAGCCAGGCCTCTGAGTCCACTGGTCAGCTGCAGCGTGCAGATTCCTGTGGAAGGGGGGCGGGTGGCATACCTCTGCGTGCCTGGCAGAGGGCGTTGTCGGTGTTGGGGTTGTGAGACCAAGACTCAAAGGCAGAGCCAGACCCTGGCTGTGCCCACTGACACAGGGGGGACTTGGGCAGGGGCGGAAGGGCTCAGACAAAGAGTCCGGTGTTTTCGTTGAACGGAAGGAGGAGGAAGTTAGAGCACAGGGCAGCCAACCCCTCCCCCAGGACCCAGGGATATGGAGACCTGGCCCCACCGCCTTCTGCTCTTACTCTTCCAAGTCCCTTCGCCCCTGCCTCCCCAGGGGGGTCAGCATTCCCGGTGTATTTGGGCTCCTCCAGGGTTGGCTCCTGGATTTTCTATTACTCAGGATGTTCCAACCACGAGAAGTGTATATGCGGGGAGGGGGAGGGGGGGGGAGGTGGTGAGGTCCAGGGGTGACGCCAGCTTTTTAAATCCCCGCTTTGGCTGTATTTTTATTTTGATGGAAATAAATTCTCAGGATACACTCCAGAGCTGTGGCAAAGGCACCACCGCCAAGGCCAGGCATTTGTCCCAGAGTTGGGGCGGGGGGCAGGTGGGGGTGCTTACCGCTGGCCCCCAGCCGGGCCAAAGCAGGCTGGTTTTCTCATCAAGTTTACAAGACCTTCGGATTGGAAAGGGCAAGAGGGATGTTGTGACCTGAAATGGGGAAGGGGACTCAGGAGGCCTGGGCTGGAATGGGGGTGGGGTCAGGGCGTTAGTAATCCTGGGAGCCACAGCAGGGACACTGAGAGTCCCAGTCCCCAGGGAAGGGCTTCCTGGTTCTCAGTTTCCTCTCTGGCTTCTGGGCCCTTAGGGATCTGGCCTGCGCCATGTCCTGACTCCTCCGACCCCTGGCCTCTGACCTCAGCCGCTCGCATCTGTGTCCACCATTAAGCTGCCCTCCCCTCTGCCTTCTCCCCAGGGGGGCTCACCCATCCCTCTGAGCTCCCTGCACTCACCCTCCAGGTTGCCTATGGAACAACGGAGAATAGTCCTGTGACCTTCATGAGCTTCCCTGAGGACACAGTGGAACAAAAGGCCAAGAGTGTGGGTCGGGTCATGCCCCACACGGAGGTGAGTCCAGGGGGTCAGCTCCCCCACCCCCACCTCCACCACTGGAGTCCCCACGGCTCTCTGGAGATGCCAAGCCTCGCTTCCCCTCTCTCTGTGGGCCAAGGCGTGAGACAGACAGGGAGAGGTTTGGCGCAGTGGGCCTGAGCCAGCGCCGGCTAACTTCTCCCCAGACTCCCTTCCTGTCTGGGGGGTGTTTTTGCCAAGCCTACTGTCTGTTTTGGGGCAGCCAGGGCAGCCTCGCAGAGTGAGGCGATTTTCCCTACCCAACCGCCTCCCTCGCCAGAGTAGCCCTCGGCTGAGGTGTCAGCACGTCACCAAATGCTTCATGCCCCAGCCTGTCCCTTTGGGGGTCCCTCGCTCCTTGAAGGCCAGCCCAGAGCACCTCTCTGTCTGCACACACACAGGTGTGTCTCCACCGGCCCACTCGGTGGGCCCCACCCTCATGCCCCCTAGTCCCTCTGGCAGTGTCCAAGCAGCTGCCTCCCCTGGGACGTCCGGGTGAGCCTCTCTCCTGGTGAGAGTCTCTCCTGGCCCAGTCCCAGGACTAAATGTGTGGTGGCACCTGTCCCTGGCAGCTGCCCTCCTGTTCTTGCCACTCCCGTGAGGACGCCCACCTGTCAGGAAGGCAAGGTGGGCTCGGGTCTCACTTCACAGCTGCAGTCACAGGCGAAGCCTTCCTGGGCCCACTGGAGGTCACACGCAGCCTGTGTCCTCCCTGGAGCCGTGGTGGTGTAGCGCTTATGCCTTGGGCTGTGATCCCAAAGCCCAACCGTTCAAAACCACCAGCCACTTTTCCCGCTGGGGAAAGACTGGGCTTTCTATCCCTGTAGTTACGTCTCAAACTCACAGGGGCGGTTCTGCCCTGCCCTATAGGGTCGGCATCAGCTCGATGGCAGGGAGTGTGGGTTTGGGGATTTTCTTGCGCGGTCACGTGTGCTGCCATGCTACCCTCTCCGGCTTCCTTGTCTCCTGCCTACTGGGCAGTGATGGGAGACTGCCATCCATTGGCTGACCTGGAGCTCTACAGCCTTCCCTCTTCAGTACCTCCTTGCTCATTCCCCACCTGCTCCACTGCCTCCAAACCCCTAACCTGGGCCTCTTCCCTCTTCCTAAGGCCGCCGATCCCCTCGCGAGAGGGTGGGAGGCCTGACCGACACTACCCTGTCCCAGGCCCAGATTGTGAACCTTGAGACCGGCACAATGATGGAGTTGAACATGCCCGGGGAGCTGTGGGTCCGCGGCTACTGCGTCATGCTGGGCTACTGGGACGAGCCCCAGAAGACCCAGGAGGCCATCGGGCAGGATAAGTGGTACCGGACAGGGTGAGGACATGGGCTGGGCCAGAGGGGTGGCTGGCAGGCCCAGGGCTGAGCTGAGAAGATGACAGGGAGGGACAGGGAGAGCTAAGTGTGTGGAGAGCGTGTGGCTGGCCCTTCATGTCTAGGGTTTCATTCTCAGTCAGGGTCGGGGTAGTCTCGGAGGTAGAGCTCGTGGGGGGCGGGTACAGAGCCCAGCTGAGCACTGGGACAGGACGCATGGCCTGGGGGCCCCCTGTAGTATCACACTTCAGCCACTCGGTACATGCCCACTGCCCCTGCGTGCCTCAAGTGGGCAGGCCCTGGACTACCCACACGAAGGCGAGACGTCAAGCCCACTGGGCAAGGCCTGGCAGGGGAGCCTGGAGAACCCTCCGGAGCTGCAGCAGAGAGGGTCTTCCTGAGTCAGACCAACTCGTGTGCTTGGGGACTGTCCAGTCGCTGGTCAGCAAGCCGCCAGCCACCGCAGGGGGAGGTGGGCCCTGCCCGCTCGCTCCTCCACACGTCTGGTGGAAGCGGAGGATTCTAAACAGGATGGTCCCCATCACTCACAGAAGCCAGCGTTTGGCCGGTGGTTATGGGAGAGGGCCTGGCTGTGGCAGGGAGGGGACACAGAAAACACGTCTTTCAAGGGGAACCTGACTGGTCGGGCCATGAGAAAGGAGAGATCCGTTAACAGAGATGGGAGAAAGAGGGCTTTCCACTCCGGTAAAGAGCCACAGCCTCGTAAAGCCACAAAGGCAGTTCTAGTCTGTTACAGGTCGCTATGAGTCGGCACCGGCTCGATGGCAGGGAGAGGGTTTACCGAAATCGAGAGAGGGTGGGAGCGGCACAGGTCGATCTGTTTCGCCTGCCTCCTCCAGTACACTCTCAGTTCTAAAGGGCGACGCCTAGTTCAGCTTCGCCCGCAGAGCAGGTGAGCAGCTGTCCCAGGTGTGTGCTTGCCCGCCGCCGCCGAGGCAGAGAGGGAGGGAGGAGCCATGCCGAGCTTCCCTTGCAGAGACATCGCCACCATGGACGAGGGCGGCTTCTGCAGGATCGTAGGCCGCTCTAAGGACATGATCATCCGCGGCGGGGAGAACATCTACCCCGCTGAGATAGAGAACTTCTTTCACAAGCATCCTCAGGTGCAGGAAGCACAGGTAAGACGCCCGGCCAGGGGAAGCCCCACCACCCCACGCCAGAGCCGGAGCCGTGGGTGTGTTAAGGCGCCCAGCCCTGGGGGAACCCCTCCACCCCACCTCAGAGCAGGAGCCGTGGGTCTAATCTGGCAGGTGGTGGGTGTGAAAGACGAGAGGCTGGGCGAGGAGGTGTGTGCCTGCCTGCGGCTGAAGAGTGGGGAGAAAGCCACAGCCGAAGAGATCAGGAACTTCTGCAAAGGGAAGGTGGGACCCCCAGCCCGCCCCCCACCCTGCCCACTGGTGTCAGGTCTTCTCCCAGCTCTCCTCCACACCCAAGCCTGGTGAAGTGGGGCTTTTGTTCCCCCACCTCCAGCCCGACTCCCAATCCAGTCCAGCCTCCTGCCCCACCCCAACTCCGGGACCCCGCCCACCCTCATGGGTGCCCCCCACCCCACCCCCACTCTGTCTGCAGATCTCTCACTTCAAGATTCCCCGCTACATTGTGTTCGTCAACCAGTACCCCCTCACCATCTCAGGAAAGGTGGGTGAGGCGGAGGAGACTGTGGGGAGGGGGGCCGGGGGCCCCCGAACACGGAAGGCCAGCCAGGCCCATGACTCCCTCGGGGATGGGCAGGAGCAGGTGGGGGTGACCAGCTCCTGTACCCATTCCCCCTTGCTCTGGACTTCCCTGGCTTTATCCCTAAAAGCCCGAGAAAGCCCTCAGTCCAGGCTGACTGCGGGCTGGTCCCTGGAGGGAGCGGTGGCTCTCACTCTGGCTGTAGCAGAGGCACCCAGCCTGGCTCTCACTGCTCCCGCTCTCCTCCAGATCCAGAAATTCAAACTCCGAGAGGAGATGGAGCGGCACCTGAAGCTGTGAAGGCTGGAAAGGGTGGTGGCGGGGCTCTGGGATCGGGCATAAAGGGCTTCTCTGTGGGCTTGGGGGGGGAGGGTCTTGCTGGTGTACTCTCCTGGCAGCTAGGGGATGGAGATGAGAAGAGAACGGAAGGGAAGCTGGCATCTCCTTGTCAGAGGTGCCCCGGTGATACAATGGTTGCCAGTGAACCCAAAGGTTGGCGGTTCAAATCCATCCAGCAGCTCCGCAGGACAACGGCTGGCTGTCTTCATGAAGTTTACAGGCTAGAGAACTGCACGTGGGGCTGGATGATGAGGACTGACTCCACGGCGCCTGATGACAACATTCTTATCTCCCCCGCCCCCAATGTTTACTGGCATTTAATTCATAGATCATATAATTCAATCATTGAGCCACATCAGGAAGAGTTGTACAGTTACCACCTAGCACACTCAGTTGTAGAGCACTTTCTCTGTTCTTGCACACGATTAACAATATTCTTGTCGAAGATGGCATTAGTCACTTGGATGTACCCGTTGGTCCCTGGGTGGCCCCAAGGGTTCCTGACTGACCATTAACCTAGAAGTTCGCAGCCATGAGAGGAAGGCCTGGCAAACCGATTCCATAGAGACTCCAGCCAGGTGCCCCTCTGTGGAAGAGGTCTGCTCTGTCATGACCCGGCTGCTGAAAGCCGGGCTCCCTGGCAGTGAAATCTACTCTATTCTCTTGACTGTTACAAAGGTTGATTTAACAACAACAACAAAAATTGAATGTGAAAAATGTATGTAGCCTCATTTTGTGCATGGTAGTAAAGCAGGCCCTTTGGTGAGAGGGCTCATGGAGGCATTCGATGCCTCTGTTGAACACACCCATTCCTTACCCTCGTTCCCCGGCTTCTAACAACACACCAATACGATTTCCGCCTCTTGCCGCCAGTCCAGTGTCATCCTGCTGTGTCCACACATTCATCTATCACAAGATTCATAAGGGGTCAAATCCCCACAGTAGCCCTGGGAGACATGCCTGAATGTCTCTACCACTGTCTCGATGCATGTTTCCCACCCGGGTTGGGGAGCCTCACTCATTGTGCCTTCTCTAAGGTTCAGCACCGCTTTGAAGCAGGACTGCACGCTTTCCTTATGCGCCGAGTTCGACCCCCTTAAAACTACTCAGTTTAATCCTCACTGTATCCCTTTGGGAGTCTCTGGGTCGTCAAATAGTTAATGCACTCAGATGGTAACTAAATGCTAGCCAGAGGTGTCTTGGAAGAAAGGCTTGGTGATCTATTTCCAACGTCCGCCCCCCCCCCCAAAAAAAATCCCCAGTCATTAAGACCCCTATGGAGCCCAGTTCTATTCTGACCCATGGGGTTGCTATGCATTGGCTGAGCACCAACTGATTTGGGGCTCCCTTTGAGATGTCTACCCAATGTTCAAAAAGGCTAGGCTATTCTCATTTAATTCTTTCTCATATTGTTGGCAGGTAAGTTGGGGAAGAAGTATTTTTAAACTATGCAACAGCCTCACTGAGAGATGCACATCCCATTTGACCTTCCTATTGAAAGTGTACCACGCAGCGGTTTTCAGTTTTTAGTATATTCACATTCTAATGCACAATCGTTGCTACATCCATTTTAGAACATTTTCAACAACTTCAAAAGAAACTCTGTCCCTGGGGCTTCCCTGATGGGCAGGCAGGGCAGATAAAGCAGGCTGTAGCTTGACCTCTCTGGTGGTGATAATGGGTTACCCGCTGGGCTAACCACCAGGTAAGCAGTTCAAACCCAGCAGCTTCTCCCCCCAGGGAGAAAGATGGGGCGGTCTCCTCCTGTAAAGATGTATAGTGCCCTATAAGGTCAGAATGAGTTGGCATCAACTTGATCGCAGTGGGTATAGCTTGAGGTCAGGAATGAAAACAGCTGAATTCCACGAGGCACCTATGTGTGGAGTTCCCAGGTCAGAGATGAGAACTGTCTTCCTGCCTGCAGCCCTAACCTTCCATCCTGTCTACCCCCAGCCCCAGCAGCGACCTCTTTGTTGTGGTCAGGTGCCATCAGGTGCTTCAGACCTACAGCAGCCCTGTGCATGACAGACCACAACCTGCACTATTCTGCCAACCGTTCCTAGGCCTGAGCCCGTGGCAGCTAGTGTCAGTCCTTCCTCTTTTTGTCTCTGCCCCTCGCTTTACGTTTAAGGAATGGCATGTATCCAGGGCACTCCAGCTGCCAGCCACTATGACAGATGCTTCTATATACATTTTTCCCTCGAAATCTTCCCACAACCCTATAGACATTAGCCCCACTTCGCAAATAAGGGACCAAACTCGGGCTCGGGCACTTGCCCAAGGTCACACAGCTGAGATTAGAACCCAGCTGGCTGATTGTGAGGAAATCCCACGATCTTGTCACTGCATCGGACAGCTCTTTAGGGAGCAATTTTCCCAGTCTCCCACTTCACCCACCTCTCACTCCCCTCCCATCTGGAGCAGCCCCAGGCCAAACTCCTCCCCTATCGGCGCCTAGGATATTCTATTACTGCAAGTGCCCTCTCCCCGCCTCCCCGGCCCAGGCTCTCCCACAGGGCGCTGGATTCCTGCCTGTGGCCTGTCGGCGGGGCTCGTTGGTTTGCTTCTCCTATCGGATTACGACCTGACTGTTATTCACCCGCGTGTCTCCAGCTCGGAGCCAGGCAGCATTTTGAAGGAACAGAGAGTTCCTGGATGGGTCGCAGAACTGGCTCAGGATACGGTGCCAAAGGCAGGGAGTCCACCCACCGCAGGCCTGTGGGTTCGAGCGGGGAGGGGGGGCGGGGCCGGAGGTTGCGGCGAGGACGCCGGTGTCCAGTAGGTGGCGCCGCATCCCGAGGCTTGGGCCTGTTCCGTCGCTTCCTGCCGCCAAGGGCGGTACGCGCGCGGTCACGCCGTCCGGCCTCCTGCCGCGGTGCCGCCCAGCCCGGCGACACCCTCGTCCCCTGGCGCGACTTGGACTCGACTTTTGCCCGGAGCACCAGGCCTCCCCACGCCGCACCCACGGTCATGATGCTCCCCGGGGTCCGGGCGCGCGGCTGGGTGGCAGCGGCCAAAGCTGCCCTGAGGCGCCACCGAGCGGACGGAGAGGGGGAACACCGGCGCCCCGCAGCTCGGGGCCAGCGCGCGGCGCTGTACGTGCACGTGAGTGTGGGGGCGGAGCTCATCCCCGGGCCAGCGCGCGGCGCTGTACGTGCACGTGAGTGTGGGGGCGGGGCTCAGCCCGGGCCTGCGCGCGGCGCTGTACGTGCACGTGAGTGTGGGGGCGGGGCTCAGCCCGGGCTAG